TAAATAATACTACTAAAATGTTTAAAATTTCTAAAATAATTTTTTTTAAATGTATTTAAAAACCAAGTTTCTTATATTTTCCTTCATTGATTTTGGAAAACGTGGTTAAGTTAGATAATTTCTCTCAATTGTTTTTATAAAATTTAAATCACCAAATAACATTTATTATGCAATTAGAGTTAGTTACGACAGACCGAAGTATTGAGGTAAGACAATTCTTATTATGTAACTTATGGTGGGATAAATTAAGGGGGTAGTCAGTTTGTGGAACATTTATTGTATTGTATGACTTTAATTCTCAAAAAAGTAACAAAATCATGACGGTTGAAATCAACACTTCAGTTATCAGTTACTTTCATTAAAAATTCTATTAAAGAAGCTTAGGCAGGTAAATGGTATTTATTTTATCAATTAACTTGATTATATAAAGTTGTAAATGGGTTCATCACAATTTAATAAACCAAAAAAAAGGCATTTTAAGCAGGTATTAATTCAATGTGCGAAAATTCAATAGAAACTTAATTGCAATATACTAAGGTAAATACAATGTAAAAAACCTCCAAGTTAAAATATAGGTACATATAATAAATGTCTACTTATAAGTAAAACATTATCTTACTTCAGTGGATTTAATTTTATCATCGTCGACTTTGTCATCTTTACTAGTTTCTTCGCTTTCATCATCTTTTTTATCTTTTTTCTTTTTATCTGTTTTTTTCTTCTCGTCTTTATCAGTATCATTTGATTTTTTGGACTTTTTATTTTTCATAGCTTTTAATTCTTGATCAGATATTGGTACTTTCTTAGCACGGTGATAAAACTGATGCTTTAACATTCTAGAAAGGAAAATGTACCTATGTATATAAAATAATATTTATAATACAACATGAACAACTATCATACAAGTCCAAAAATATTTCGATATCCTGTCTGGTAGTGAACAACTTCTCACTAGTTGCCCATTTTGATTCCAATAAACTGTCAACGGCTTTACTACCTAAAAGGAAAAAAAATAAACTAACATGTCACATTATCTACATAGACAGAGCAAAAGATATTGTTAATACAAACCTGTAAAGTACTCGACATTGTGGCCTGCAAATTTTGTCTTCTTGTGTGGAACATGCTTGCGCAACCAGGCGGCCACAGAGTACTCGGTCTTGCTGGGTTTGTCAGCCGAGGCCTCGGGGTCCAAACTGTACTCCTGAAAAAAAAATCAATTGGCATATATTACCAATCAGATAAGTACGAAAATACGGATAACGTGATTTCAATAACTTGCCACCTCAATGGTGACAATATTGTTAGTGTTATTGTGACAGAAACTCACCTCATCCCGTCGCCGTTTCCCTTTTCTTTTCTCGGCCATTATGCAAGGGCGGGCGTATCTCTATTATCCAGAAGACCAAAACATCCACCAAAAGACAGACTACTGTTACTTATAAAACAGCACAGTTGTTGCTGATGCGTTTTATTCACTGACGCCGATTGTTTTAATAGTGCGTGATAAAAATTGAAAATGGGAAAAACAATAACAACGAAAGCAAAAGATGAAATGAATTGTAGATATACAATATAATGTTTATTAAAGAGCCAATAAAACTTATAATTCTTTAATCATACGAATAACTGTAGTGGCCGCCGAGAACAAGACGATGAACGATGAAGTGATGACTAGGCCGACTAGGGCACTGCGACGCGTAAAATTGTGGAAACTAAAATCCCGTTGATTGACCGAGTTTATTTGTTTTGTTTTTTGCTGTCCACCACGCGTTACAGTGCCGACACGAAAGCGACCCAAAACATTTCGATAATCCCGGACAATTGACATGACCTGACAATAGCGCGACCACAAATATCAATGCAATATGCATTTAATGTTACAAAAAAAAAAAAATAAATAATAGCAATAAATTATCAATCCAGATTTGTGTAAAATACCTTTAAAAAGTATTCCGAATGGCAAATGTTTCAAAAATTTTATTTTATTTTATTTTTGATATAAAAAAAAAATAATATATTTTACATGTCTTCGGGAATAGCCAATAGCCAATAGGATAATAGGTATTTGAGACAATATCTAATGTAATATAGGTATACAAAATTTTTGTACCTACCTATTTTAGTATTTGTACGTATAAATATGTAATTTTGATCATTTAGACCATAATGATAAATATTAAAATAAAAAATATAATTTAATACTAAAGAAGTATTCTGAATACATCAGTAGTAAATACTTTTGGGAAATAGTATTCTAAAATTATTGCGAATAGGTACTGTATTCAGAAATTCAGCTAAATTACAATAATACGGTAACATGATATTTGTATTGTTATTGTAAATTGTTAATCATTTTTGAATTTCCTTTTTTTAAAAACGATTATTGTTATTGAAGTCGACTGAAATTCAAAATTATACCTTCTTCATCCTTTATAATATTTAAATTGTTCAAATTTAAAGATAAACGATCACACTAAATCCACAGTCTCAGAATTCTTGGATCTAGAGTATTAAATATTTATTAGAATTTTATTTAAAATTAAAAATTAAATTAAAATGTATAAATTCATGTCGAAGTGCCTTCACCTGGTTAGTTCTTCCCTCAAATCACTCAAGCCACTGCACTTAATTTAATAAAAAAACAACCATTATGCTTATTATGATTTTTTATGTATAGGTATCGGATTGCATAAATTCGAAATCAAAGATATTAGAAAAAAAAAAAAAATTAAAATATAAGGTAGTTACTTGTTTCTTATTACTTATCGCTCCGCTATAGGTATTATATTATTATATAGTGTACCGTTATTGTTCCTACAGTTATCATGTTTAGCTTATGATAGATAATCTATTTTAAGAAATGAGAAAACAAAATTTTAGATCATGGTATATTAGTATATCGTTCAAACAATACGAAAATTAAATTTAATACGATAAAATGAATTTTAATAAATTACTTACAATTATTTTCATCAATAACTCTGAAAATTCATTTTTATAATAAAATATTATAACTTAAGTTATTAAAATATGTGAAAATGACCGTATAATATTAATTAAGGCATTGCGATGGCAATGCCAGAAAAGAATAATTGCCAAAAGAAAAAGGGATTAAAAGTTTACAATATTGTCTAATTGGTTCTAAACCAGTGGTTCTCAACTGCCGATCCGAGATAAAAAAGAAACCGGTCCGTGTTAACCTATTGGAAAAAATTATCTTTCCAAATTCCAAAGTATATATATATTTTTTTTTTTTTGTAATTGATACACCGGTATTGCTATATTTTATTTATATTTATAAATGCTTTTAACTTTTTATTTAATTTAATACACTAATCTGCAAGCAAAACTAAAAAATAATGTATAACTTTTTAATTTTTTGAACTTTTTTATTATTATTATTTTTTTTTATTTTCAAAAGTGATACTAAAGCCTTCGTCGGACTATCAAGTAAAACAGTAAAAAATTTCAGCCAAAATGGTTCCGTATTTTTCTCGGTTAGCGTGGTCGTTGAAAACCTCTTACAATTTTATATAGTATAGTACCTATAGATAATATAAATATAGATATAGATATTTTTATGTATATAAGTATATAACAGTATAATGAATGTAAACAGCATCAGAGTTCTAAGCAGTAAACTATACAACTGCTATAGTTAAATCACTTAAAAAATAAATAGTAAACTTAGATACATAATCATTTTCTTTACTTTTTTTTCATTCACATTTTTATTAGTAACAGGACAAGAACTTTATTTATAATTTGTGTTACCAGTATTCGATGGATCATATTGTCTTAGTGAAGTTGAAGCTTTTATTTTGAAATAGTTTAAAATGGATTTTTTTTATTAGAATTAATTGAATCCATGATACAAATTATAGATTTAATTATAGATTAAACACTTTGCACCTTAATAGGTTTAACACGATTTTAAATTTAATAGATGATTTTATTTTAAGTAAATTTAATGAATTTTGAGAATAGGATAGATAGCTAATACTTTGACGCACCTTCGCTATTTAAACATCCACATTATTGAACACTATTAAAGTGGATTACCAAATTATTATTAATTTTAAGAACCATACCTACATGTAATCTAGAAATATGTTGTTTCACAATAATCCTTGGATCAACCTTACGAATCAAAATGTAATCTGTAGACTATGAATACATCTACCCTAAATATTATATATACCATGTTAAGAGCACCTAAAAATTCATTATTATACACACAACTATTTTTGTATGTATTCAATGACTACGTAGGACTTCATTTATTATAAGTTATATTAATTTATGCAAATTTGTTCTTACGTCTTAAAAATATTCCATCACATTAATGAATGGTGTGGGCATATCTCTTGGGCTGGCTTTTTATCCTACTTATGATCAATGCACTTTTTGATTGAGAAAAAAAATGTTTTGTATTCAATCTCCCGGATTACTTTGAAAGGCGTACGAATCAGTACAAACGTCAGATATAGTTGTTAAATTTTTATGTTAATATAACATATTACATATAATTAACAAGAAGTTCTTTTTTTAATGTTTATACACAATAAATGTTCATACTCAAAGCATAAAAATAAATAAATAATTTAAAAGTTGTATTTATTTTTATCTGAAATTATGTATTCATAGTTCAAGTTTTTTACCGAAATAAAAACACTATACCTTATTAACCTATACATTTTTATGCCATCACACAAATGATAATTTAATATTTATATTTAGTTACAAAATTTACAATTTCACGTAAGTTTTTTTTTTTTAGGCGAGTAAAGTTTGTTTTAAGTTTAAACTAAATTTATTATCTGTATTTATTTAAAGTATAAATAAGTTGAGTATGCATTTTAATTATTTATTTTTTATTTTTATTGTGATTAATAGTTATGTTATCACTATTTAGTGGAGAAAATGTAAGAACTAATGGTTATGATGACAATTACAAACAATGTTTGGCTGCTGTTTAATCTTTAGTTGTTGGAAAGATGAAACAAGTAACTTTAACTTTACGTATGGTTGCAATTTCTCCTTTTCACTATAAGACTTTAGAAGCTTTTATTGGTATGTTAAACTTTGTACACAATAGTATCACATATCGTATTGATATCATTGTGTTTATTTCTATTATTCTGGTTTGCATAGTAAAATTATTGAGTGGGATATGAAGGAAAAGTAACTATTGGAAGATTTAATGATGCCGCAAAACATATCTTATCCAAATTTATATTTTCATATAAATTTAATTTTAGTTCAAAAAAAATTATTGATTTTTTTTTTTGCATAAGACCACAAATCAAAAGATAAATATCATACTATATTTATAGATTAATAAAGAGATACGAAGATCGGTTAATAATACAGTAAACATTTTTATGTTCTAAATATTAGTTTACTGTGATTATATAATGTATACCATGCCTATAGATATAGGTTATTAAGAATTATTAAATTGTTAAATATTCAAATTTTTTATACATTTATGATATTTTTATTGGTATTTATATATAAGAATAATAAAAAACGAAGCTAGTAGGTATTTTTTTGACAACTCAATAATCGCGGTTTGGATAGAGCGGTGCATCAACGGATTCGCCGCGAAGATGAAGTATAGGCCACCGATATGACGTCGTCGAGAGCGTTCGGGACAATCGTTGGTCTAGTGGTCTCGACTGAGTCCGTGTGGGTTATCAACGCTCGGATTGTCGGCGTGTCCCATATAGCTACAATTATTAGCCTCGTCGTATTGTTATTTTGGTTCTATCTCCAAGTTCCTTAAGTAGTGTGGTTTATGAAAGTTTCGAAAATAAAAGTAGAAATAAATTGTATCCTAAAATGTACTCGTACATACTATATATTCATGTCACCGTTGGTACCGAATACCTAGTGAATATGCACTTTAAGTAGTGTGTTTACTGTCAGTCCGGAATCTCTTATTATTCAGCCGATATTCATTTCATAAAGACGGAGATGGTATCCATATAATAGGAGTGACCTTCCCCCTATCCATATATATCTCTTTCTTGTCGATCGTCCGTACAGTTGACCGGAAATCAGTCTTTTAGTGACGACCGTTTTTGATTGATCGTCGCTGCGTACATATTATGTACTAAGGTCCCGCCGCACATTCTGGTCTCTGTGCAAGTTGCCCGCGGTATTGTGGCTGCCATATTCCACGTACGCAGTAATATAATGATATAATATGTTGGTATATCACTGCTTCTATACAATGAAGAGCTAAACATTATTTTATGAGGTTTTACGATAGGCAAACTTCTCATACAAATTCTCTAATTAAAACTTTAATTTTACAATTTTATCCTCATTAATAATTAGTACTCAATCCCTGCGAGTTCTTGACAATATTTTTATAATTACTGCTCTTCCGGTTTTTCCGGAAAGTCGAATTTTCTACCGGTGGTACTGGGGTAACGTTACACCAGCTTCACATATCTTTAAGAGCTATAAGTAATTACATTCAAGTAAATGCAGAAATTTACAGAAGAAGGCATGTAGTATAAAATATGTTAATAGTTCTTATTGAAGAAACGGGTATAGAGATAAGATTACTTATGAAGTTATGAACATTCAAAATAATTGACATGAAGTGAATGGATAAATAACAAATACACTGTACAACAGCCCAAACTTTTTATTTGGTTTGTTCAATTAACGTCGGTTTATACCAACTAGTTTTGACAGAACCTTGTATGAACTATTATAGTAGCTTCATTATAATTTATGGTAGCATATTTATTTAATTTCAGTAATTTTAATATTATTTATATATTATTATTGAATAAAGAAATTATGAACTAAATATAAATCGTTGTTGTCTAGCTTCATTATAGCGACGCATTTTTATGCTGAGAACAAGCGTCTCAACAAACGGCTGACAAACTTGAGTTGGGTCCCAGATTTCAAAAACAGCATGAGTTGGGTCCCGGTATACTTTATAAAGTATATAAGTTGGGTTAGCCTATTTGCGTTACCCAGGAGACACCACGTGGAGGTTGGCTAGAATGCCTTCTAAAAATTTTGTTTTTTTGTCATGTTAAGGTCTGATGTAAAAATTATTAAAATATTAAAATTATTATTAAGTAATTAGATTAATTTTAGAAAATAAAAAATATTATATATTATTTAGTAATAAATATTTGTACTAAAATAAATATAAGCTATAGGGAATAAATTTAAATGACACTTCTTTTACAAAATTTAACCGCGTCAATTCTCCATTAGTAAAAGAAAGCATCTTTTCTCTTAAAAAATAATACTACAAAACACTATACGTATTTTATTTTATATTTTATTAAATGGACACTTCTAGCGTTGACACGTGCCGGTATACTGGCAAGTTACAATATGTTATCCGGTGACAACTGTCCGGTTACGTTGTATTATACGTCTTATTAAAATAAGATATGAATTTATTATTTAATAATATAATAATAATAATAATAATAATATATATACATATAATACCGCGGACTAAACTCGTGTTTTTTTTTTAAGGGATCAAATATCTTGGGATCCAACTCGCGTTTTCCCCAAACGGCTGTTGCAATGATTAGCTATGGCTGAGTTAACATTAATTACGGATCTTGTGAGGGTTCACTATTATAGTGTACAGTTATTTATAATGTGTCAGTAAAAAATGTATTGAAAGTAGTGTATTATAGAAATATTATAATAAATATAATCTCAGAATAACCTACCCAATCTATTGAATAGAACGCTGTTTACATTTGGATTATAGCATACATATTCGTAAATATGAAAACAACTACAATAGTGTTAACTAAATCATGGGACATGGGACCTCTGGTTTTAGAGAATAGGAAGAAAAGGAAAGAATATTCTATACACTAGAGTCCACAGTACAGTGTTTAGGTATTTTCAGATATACCAAACCCGTTGATTCCACAGTATTTTCATACCTCACACAGGTCACGCTATTGTACTTTTTTATTAAAATATAAACAACTAATTTAACTAAAATTTACTCGGAAATTATTTGACTTCATCACATTTTTTTTTTTGTAACGGACAGTCTGCTTACTATAATAAAATATACGCTCTGTATTATTGTCGATGTCCCTGAAGTTTGACAACCAAATTCAAAAAGGTGTTAAGGAAGCAACACATTTACAAATACACTTTCAATAAACAAAAATTTGAAATCGGACATTTATAATATTTGGGTAGAGAAATATTTGCTAAACATACATTTAATACTATTTACTTTTATTAATAAATATCTTACGTCAGGTGGTTCTAACAATAAGATATTACGTGATCATCGTTAAAACAATACTAACACATGGTGATGAAACACTTAAATACAATTCACATTTATTATATTTGTGTAATTAGTTGGTAGTTACAAGATTATTTGGTAAAATAATTATTAATGCTAAATCTTAAAATAGAAAGTGACAATCAGGTATGAAGTCAGAATTTATTTTTATTTTTTATTTTTTTGGTTGTTTGGGGAGGGGATTTAAATAATTTTGGATACAATTTTTATTTTTTATTTTCTATAATATGATTGATATATAAAATCTTTTAATTTTAATTTTTAAAGATAACAGTTGTCTTTAATAAGTTCATACTAAGATTATGATATTTATTATTAATTTCTTAAATATAAATTATTTTAATTATATTCAGGTAATAAATTTAAATGTGTCAATAAAATACATAAATAATCTAAACAGTAAAGCGTAAACAATTAAATATTTTTTAACATATTAACATGTGATATATGTGACCTGCTTTTAGTCAGTATAGGTAATAGGTTTATTTTTTTTTTAGTCAAATGTAAAGCGGAATAATTATATTATAATTATATAAAGCTTTTGATTATTTGTTCTTTTATATATACATATATTTGATTCCTTGGCTTTTTACCGACAATTTGAGGATGAGGTATATATCAACGAAATTAAAATAGGTAGGTACTACTTATTATATTTTACAAGAAATATAAAAATATAAAATATCTTTAATCGATGAAAATAAAGTCTATAATTATTTTTTGTTTAATATAATTTTATATTATTTCAAATAGATTTAATAGATAATGGATAATCGCTGTTACACTGATAAACCACAAATAAATTTGAATTTCAGCAAACTTTAAAAACTGTCTAAAAATTATTGACTTAACCTTAGTAAAAGTTTTTAACACAAATTTTTTTCTAAAAATTGGATTTACAAATGGCTATTTTGATTTTTCTTAAATATCAAGTAAAAAATTTTTTAACTATTAAAATGTAAAAAAAAAAAAATTGAAAAATATTTTAAATTTTAGTGCAGACGACAATTGACAATTAAAAAAAAAAAAATTGAAAATGTACAATAGAACAAAAGTTATTGTAATTATTGTCAGTTCATCGTGAAACACTTAGTATATTTAAATAGTTAAATATATTTGGACGTATAGTAAATAAAATTGTGAATTTAATTTGGAATAAAAAGATTTGCATGAGTTAGTTGTACGATAAAATATACTGTTGCTTTTTTTGCCCAACTTTCTGGTGAAAATGTTGAATCATTGTCTATATAATTTTCTACTAAATAATCATTACATTTTGTAAGTTTTTCATTCATAGGTTGTATTTCAGCTAATTTGTCGTAAAAGTAATACCCAACAACTTGTAGATCTAGAAATGGCTATCTAAATATAATATATGTTAAATATTAGCTTATTTTTGTATTTTGCACGTACTTCGATGAAACATCAAACTTTTTTATTATTCTGTACTAAGATAATCCTAGGTAAAATCAATAATCACGAACATAAGTTAATTGTCAACTTAATTTACTTCATTATGTATAGCTATATTAAATTCAACATAAATGCTTTCTAAATTAAACTCATTATAATAATTTTAAAAATATCTACATTGGATTCTTGTTTTTTGACTTTTAGTAAAGTGCAAACTAAAGGTATTTAATTATTGTTTTTTAATATCTGAATTATTGTAAAAATTGGTAAAAAAAACTTTTTACAGTAGGAAAATGTTCCACAAACGAAAAAAATGGTTGATTTACTTAGG